CAGAATCTGTTTTTTATTTCTTCACTAAAGTGGGTGTTTTCCAGTTCCCCTTTCTTCAGTATTAATTTCTTAATACAAATGGAGAAGCAAAGAAAAGCAGAAGCAGAGATGACTACTTATTTGAGGAAAAAAAAAGACTTACTCTAGGTTCATGTCAAACTTAATTGAATAAATTATCTTCAGTCCTCTCTTCACTATTACAATCAGAGAAGTGGTCCCTATTCATTAATACTAGATTAAATCATGGACATTTTAAGTATGCATCAGAACTAGAAGAGGTTTATCCAACACCAAAAGTAAAACTGATCAATCTATCACCAAAACCAGATAATAATTTCAGAGCAAAGATACTAGTATATAGAAATTATTCACCTGTCGGATAAAACCTTACCAAATAAGTAGCATATATTAGTCAAATTAAATGGAATTGCTAAAATTCAACTATTTTGACCTGCAAAAATATCAGTTTCATGTGGTTCAACTTCATATATCACAAGATAAGACAAAGAAAGCAATTCCATCATAACAGCCAAGTTGTACACACACACACACACACACACACACAAACATATACAAATGGAAAAAACACTGGCGAAAGGAAGTATTCTTTTATCTAAAGTATACCCAAGTTTATTTGCACTAGAATTGATAACCAATAATGAAAGACATTTCTATATCACAAACTAGTCCAATTCCAGACGACACAGAAAATGTCCTCTGTAATATGAAACTGTATACTGTTTCTCTGTATAGAGAAAGCAAACTAGATAATAAATGCCAAATTACCTGATAAGGAGTGATTGACATTAGAGTTGGAATCTCCAACAGTAACTTCAGTAACTCCAAAGGACCCAGTCTTAGCTGAGGTCACTGGGATGAAGGTCCTGCTTTCCTTTGTGTCTGGGTAATGAGAGGTATAACCTTCCAGTAAAGTGGTTGAGCCTTCAGAATGATTTGGGTCTCTTCTTCCACCTGTGACATCATTCCTATCTGTGTGGAGGTGGAATCAGTGATGAACCCATATTTGTAAGATTACCACCCACCATGTGCTTGTCTCCAGAACACACAACTGCTGCAAAAGCTTTCCACTTGTTATCCATAAATAGGGAGCAACAGAGTGAAGTCTGTCACACTATTGAACAGAATAAATATTTTGCAATAGACACCACTTGGACATCACTCAACAGAAGAGATTTTGGTGATCTTAATACCCAGAATTGGCATTTGTTGCAACATCTGCTTGGGTTATTAGGTAAGGCTATGTCACTAAAACTGTGACCTTGAAGTCAGCTGAAGTCATAGATAATCTTGAGTTCTTTCTCAATTGGATTCATCTTTGATGAAGTGGAGGGAACATACCATTGGATTGAAAGATAAAATTTTGCTGCTTGCAATTAGAATAGCAAATGCATGGTTTCAAGGGCCCGAGGCTACTGAATTAATTATTCTTTTCTTTTCCAGAAGGGACTGCTTTTTAGTCATCAGCACTATGTAGGTCCAGAGGACAAAAGGCAAAATAATATTATTGTGAGGAATATAAAGTGATATAATCAGACATTTACCCCAATTATAAATTATAATGCAAAAGAACTGAAATAATAAACAGTTTCTTGGACCACAGCACAATCAAATTTGAAATCAAGACTAAGAAACTCACTCAAAACCATATAATTACATGGAAATTGAATAACCTGCTCCTGAATGACTTTTGGGTAAATGATAAAATTAACGCAGAAATCAAGAAGTTCTTTGAAACTAGTAAGAACAAAGATACAACGTACCAAAATCTCTGGGACACAGCTAAGGCAGTAGTAAGAGGGAAATTTATGGCACTAAATTTAAATGCCCACATAAAAAAGTTAGAAAGATCTCAAGTTAACAAAAATAAATAAATAAAATCAATCATATATAAGCAATCCATTATGGTTAAAACAAAGCACTAACCCTAGAGTGAAAGAAATCCAACCTTTAAGACTAAGAAATGTAGTTTCCACTTAATGTTCAAAGTGTATATAAAACAGGAAAATCAGAAAACCACCACCAGACGCACCTTTTGATTAAAAGTAACAGCGTAACAGCAGCTAATCGATGCACCTCCACCAAAGACACTGCAAAAGTACCCATAATTGATTGATTCTTATCAATAGCTGAAGCCAACTAGATTTTATAATCCTTACTGCTTGATGTCAGAGTAGAAGTTGTTGGATGGTCTTTATCTTCTTCCAAGCCTTCATGTGATGTAGAGAAGCTCTGAGAATTACTCTGCTCTGTTTCAATGAGGGATGAATCCAGTGTTAATTTGAAGCTATGGTACAAATCCTGTTATCTGCTAGCAGGGAAGATCTGGCTAGAGTAGAGTCAGATGGATAGGTGCACAGGAAGACCAAGGTTTGTGCACACCATTCTCCTCTGATTGATAGAAATATACAGAATTCTATTTTGCCCCTAGTTGGTTCCAAAAATCCTTTATTTCTCAATATAATCATCAAAGGTAATGTGGCAAGGTGAAGAATGAGCCAAAACTTTGCCTACCCTGGATTGTCCTGGCGCAATTGTAGCATTGCTCCCAGTCACTCAGGAAAACCAGAGAACACAGAGACATGGAAAAAAGAATATTTGAATCCCAATGCTCCTATCAGTAATCAAGAGCACCTAACCGTGTGTTAAGACATGTGACTGTAGGGAAAATGAACACTATGATAGCCTGCAGTCTACTTGTAACCACAAAAGAAAAAGAAGCCTATCTAGAATAGCCTACTCGAGTAACACAGATCAAATTTATACAAGGAAATACTTAGCTACCTTGTAAAGGTCATCAAATTAAAGTTACCATTTTACTCCATTATTAAGTTGTTTTTTTTTTTTTTTTAAATTTCACCTGTGTATAGGGATTCTCATCACTGCACCAAGGAAACGCTTGCCTGGGCAAACACAGGGCCCTCAGTGACATATACCAATTTGAGTTTGAACCATTGCCCATATCTAAAATCACTTGGACTGTTTCAAGTTTATTTTTGTGTTCTTTCAAGAAAGGTACTGACCTCTGAGTTGCAGGTACAAAAACTTCATAAAGCACACCCATAAGCCATGCCCACCACCAAACAAATATTACAACCCAGGAGAGAGACAGTCACCAAATCCCAAGCCCAATGTCAGAACAAAAGCCAACAGTGACATAAAATGGAAATAAAAGTCCTTCTTTGGCAAGGGCCATTCATAGGCTTATTTGCATCTCCTTTGATGCTTAACGCTGTGCTATTTACATTGCTGACAATCAATACATGCTTGCTGATTTTTTTCCTTTGCCTAAAGGGCTCATATGAAGGACTCTGCCCATTGTGTGTGGCAAGCAATAAAATGGGACCTTCTTAATTCTAGATTTCTTTTGTATTCTTCAAAGAAATTATGAATGACTTTAGGCTGATCTCTAGGACATCCCTGCACATATAGTAGAAATTAAGGCTACTAGAAGTTGAACATTTCTTAGTGACAGAAAGAGATACTAGCAATTTTTGTTGTTGTTGTTGTTGTTGTTCCAGGGATCCAGGCACCTTTGTTGATTGTCAATAACATGCCTTGCCTCTCCTCTAAGAACTGATGTGATCTCTAGGATTATCTGGCCCCAAAAATGTCTTTTTACAACCATGCAAGCAATCCTACCACTCTTCTGCACTGGCTGGAGGAAAGATGGATATTGAAAGGAAATGGTCAGTTAAAACACAGAGATATCCTGGAAGTGGGCTTGTGTTTCACTGACATAACTACTTAGAGAATGAAAATGGAGTTGAATAGAGTTCTACTTTTTTAAAAACACAAAGTCATTGAATCTGGAAGGCACCAAGAAATGAAGGGAAAATCAGCTTGAGAGAACTCCACAAGAAATATAGACAATGAAGACAGTTTCACACTCTGGGCTGAGGTGAGCCTCATAGCACCATTCCACCACCAAAGTTCTGCATCTTGGCCAATAGGGTGTAAGAGATGAAGCAGGAATACAAGTCAATAAAGAGGCTGAGCATCGTTATTCTTACTCGTTGTCATTGAAAGAGGTCCTGTCCTGTCCAAGTCTTCCACCAAACCTGTGTTTGGATCTGCAGTAGGCTGAAGCGTTGTACTATGACTGGAGTCCATGTCTGAAGGAATCAATGTTAGTGTTAATGCTTGATTTCCCAAACCCACTACCCAAAGGTGGCTTATGGTCTACAACTGATTTTTTAAAATATTCACATCTGGCCAAGAGGAAAGAAAGCACATACTGACTATATCTCCAGAACTGAGATAGATTATTGTTTCATCAAGAGCACCACAACAAGTAACTGACTTTCCTTGAAGGGCCGAGTTATATGAAAGCTATGATTCATGTTTGTTTTTGCTGAGTCTGGAAGGACTCTACATGAGCGCATGATGGAACACCCAAAGCTTGCAGAGAGACAGAAACATTGCCTTTTTTATAGAAACATGCAATCTGACACATGGAGAAAAGATAAAGTGTGCTGACTCAGGCACCATTTTATCCCCTCCCCCTTACCAACCAAAGGGACTTGTAAAAATAGCCCTCTTCCCCCCTTTAGTCTTTTTCTCTTCACAGAGTGAAAATGCAAACAAACACAAAATCAGCATTCAATAACACCTAGGTGGAGTTACAGAAAGTACACAGGGGCAAGAAATAAGAAGCAGTAGATGTCATTGAATTATTCTTCCCCAAAACCCAAGTATAAGCGGTCTTTAAAATTTAACTTGTACAATGTTGAGTAGTGCAGAAATTTCACTGAGATACTTGTAAATGTTGTTTTTAATAGTTATCACAGATCTATTCTGCTGAAATAAGAAGTCTTGAGTGAAACAGAGGCCAAACAATTTATAAACCCCATCTATATTGCTGGCTCTCCAATTCAGTCAAAGTCTATCCACACCACTGCCTCTGGGGAGATTTAATCAGTTCCAGCGAAGCACCAGAATACTGGGTACCTACGTGTGCACTGCAGCTTTCAACACTAAATATTCAAGATTCAACACTAAATATTCAACACTAAAATATTCAAGATCTTTGTAGGACAAAAATGTGGTGACTCTACTATCCCAGATTTCAAACAAGAGCAAGTGCTAACCTGAATCAAAACTACAAATGGACATTCTCCCAGAAAAAGTCCCACTTGATGATGGGATCTAGACTCTTGTTCGTCTTCCCTCTTAGAAGTAGAGTCCTTCAAGAGTTATCATACCATTGTGTAGTTGAAGCCAATTGTATTGTCCTTGACATGTTCATTAATTTAATGGAATCTCTTTCTCTTCATCAGTACATAGACTTAATATTGATTTTGAAGATCTTTGCCTGGCTTGGTTTTCCCCCATATCTCAGAGCTCCAGCTCCTCAGAGCTCCAGCTGCCATGTGCAAACTCATGTGTGCTGGGTCTGCCTGTGGTACTTCAGTCACTCAACATAATGGCCCCTCCCTAGCCATTCAAACACGTCTTCCTTTGTGAAAAATGGATCTACTCACTTGACATATTCATTCCTTGGCTTTTCTTCCTTCACATTTCTCCTTAAATGAGTCTCCTTCTTAGGAAAACTGCCCCCCACCCCCCACCACCCACTTCCTTTCTCTGACTATCCAGGGTTTTTAAATTTTTCATAAACCAGATCCAAATCACCTTTCTGTGATGCTGTGGTGGGGGGGGAGGGGTTCTCAGAATTTCTTTAGCGTTTATTGTTGGCAACATTCATTTCACATCTATTACTTACTGCCTCACACAGATATATTTTGACAATAAATGTTTTCTTTTGCCAACTCTCCTGCTAAATTCTTTACTTTCAGCTCGGAATTTCATATTCAGGTGAATATGTGTATCACCCCTACCAAGAAAACTAATTTTTGAAGAATCTCAAGTCCTTCAGGAAAGTAGTTTGGTCTAAACCTAGGGCATATTTCTAGAAAAATAGTCAGCAGTCAGTGGATTTCAAAAAACAGAATATATAAAAATCTCAGAGGCTATTACCCATCCTTCTTCCTGCTTGATGACCTCGTCCCATGGGATGTGAGATTGGGTCAAAGAAATCAGTCCAGGAACTGTCCTCTGGGCTTGGTGTTGTCCTTCCTTGCATTGGATGGCTGGTAAGAGCTGAGGCTGCTGAGACCATGCAGTTGGAGCAATTGTCAAAGTGTTAATGGACGCTTGGTCAGGAATACACTGATTTTATTGTTTAAAAAGACTTTATTCTCTAGACAAGACAATGAAACCATCTTCCTTGTATAGAGGGCAAGGAAGTTGCATAAACGCAAAATGTTTCAGCAGGCTTGGGTTCACTCACGCTCATTTTCTTCTTAGCAATCAGCATGTGAACTGGAGGACACAAAAGCATTAACGACTCCTGCAGTGCAGAGAGGATGAGTTACAGACATCATAGGAAGATGAAGGAGTAGTTCTTGACCTGTGCCATGCTGCCACAGTACCCTAACGGCAGAAGTATAAAAGCCCGAGTGCATTATGTTATTCTGAGACAACCATATTCCAGCCGAATGCACATTAGGCTGGAAGTGATCTCAGGAAAGGAATCAGGTAACAGCTTTCCATGTGATCAATATGAAAGTCAATGCCATTTATCTCAAAAGCATGAATGGAATCCGTTAGAAGCATTACCTGACAACGGGATTTATGGCATAAATGACATATTAGAAAGCAGCACATGCCTTGCTTCATTCTGAGCCAATGAAGAAGTATAGGTAGAAAAGACTGCAACAGCATTCTCTTAGCAACAACCACACCACATAGACAGTCACAGAATCCATTGCTCTGCCAGGAATTCATTCAGAACTTGCCATGCCCCAGAAGTACATGACGCATTATCTTCTATATTGTAAACAGAAATATGGGAATATTTCTCACTGATACCAAGTGAGAATATGCATAAATGACATATAAGAAAGCAGCACATGCCTTGCTTCATTCTGAGCCAATGAGGAAGTATAGGTAGAAAAGATTGCAACAGCATCCTCTTAGCAACAACCACACCACATAGACAGTCACAGAACCCATTGCTCTGCCAGGAATTCATTCAGAACTTGCCATGCCCCAGAAGTACATGACGTATTATCTTCTATATTGCAAATAGAAATATGGGAATATTTCTCACTGATACCAAGTGAGAATATGGAATTCACATTCTTGATAAGGCAGGACACATTTCAATACTTATGTCACACAGACAAAAAATCCTGCATGGGAGCTTGCAGAGCCAAGTCATCTGGTATCACTTAGAGATGATGATAAGACTTGATTCCAATTTCCACAATCTCACAGTTCAAGAATAGAAAAGATGGCTTGTTTATACTCAAGGACAAATTACCAAACAGGCATGGCCAAAAGGCCAAATGACATCAGACAGGTGTCATTTTTCACATAATGTCTGGCTCTATTTCTTCAAACACTGGAGTTCTGGCAAAATGCTTTCTCACAAGTCAGACTTCGCAGGATCACATTGTAAAGTCTGGACCCATATTCTAGAGTAGATTCCTTTATATGACAAAAGGGGATATTTTATCAGGGCCTCCGCTACAATCTCACTAGATAATGCCCAGAACTCGGTGTGAAAGAGACACGTTCAAGGGCATGTTCTCTATGTTTCCTGTTCTTATTCGTAACTGGCTTGTATCCATTCCTGTTCAGGTGACTTGTTATGAGCCTTTAAGGTTTGGCTCTGTGTTAACTGCAGCATAATTTATTAAGTAACCTAACGTCTTGTGACAATTCCTCAAATGTCCTTTTGTTCAGTGTCCTCAATGTCTACCATTTAACCCAAAAGGAAGTTGCCATCCAAATTTACTTGTTAAACCACCCATTACCAGCTGTCCCTGTTGTCGAATGGGAGTCTTCTCTGGGTGTTTGGAGATATCCCTCATGCCATCTGTTGCCAAACCACTGTTCCTTCTGGGTAGCTGTTTCTTCAGTTGTACTACTAGGAATTGCCTGGACTGTGAGAAGAATATCAGTTGGGAGACATAATTGTCTATTTTCCTTGCCAATAGCTGTCAACGTATCTTTCTACTTTAAGGGCAGATACACATGGGAACAGAAGGTAGAAAAGAAAAGCAGCAAGGAAACAGGCCACTGATATTCTGAAAGGGATATTAGAAATAAAATGATCCAAACATTTAATTTTTCAGATGGGAACATTGTGGTCCAAAGAGGTTTTGATTTGTTCAAAACCATAGGACTAAGCAGACCATAGCTGATGAATTCTCAGAGTTCTATGAGTTATCATTATTTTTATTTTACTGTAGTGTATGGCATCACATACCCTGTCTTAGAAAACCATTCAAAGAATAACCTCTTCGCTCCAGTCATTCTGATGAAAGGAAAATACTGTATAACAACTGACAAGATCAGCGCATTAGGAGACCGTCTCAAATGGTGGTCATGTAACCCATAATTGCACACACTGGAAATGCACCAGCAGTGGATTTGCCCAGCAGGAAAGGTGTTGGGATGGCTTGAATGCTATTTCACTAACACATTATGTGGCAATGTTCATATGGCGCCTAAAATTGCTAAAATCACTTTTTAACAAAATTAATTCAGTTGACAAAAACTATCCAAGCCAGTTTGAGGCATTATATAAATAATAGTGTGTGACAGGCTTAAAATTTCAACCATTATTTTAAAAAGGACAAAATCAACAGAATAAAATTCCATCAAGGTGCCTTCAGGAAAAGTCAGAAAGCCACCAACATTTTTAACTATAGCAACTTAAAGCAATTTTGTTTTATCAAGAAAATGAGAGCCTATTAACTTGCCAAGCCAGAGTATTTTTTTGTAACTTGTAAAATGGTTGTATTTCATTATCTTAGAAAATGATATGTGTGATTTGGTGACGGCAATGACATTTAAAAAATAAAACAGTCCTCATTTTACCCTTACATTGGCCAAGCCATTATTGGGTTAACTGGTTATCCAGGGGGAGGGGAAAAAAGCCAGAATCTTAAGTTTTACCTACCACTGACTAAATCACTAATTCCCAACCAATAATGAAGTTAGAAAAACCACTGAATGTAATTACATAAAAAGGAACATTGACCCAAACATAGACTGCCATGTTACTCAAAGTTTAAATAAAAGAAATAAGGAAGTGTATGTGTGTGACTGCATAGAAGGACTCTATACTCCTTCTATCACTACTTTAATGAGTTTTTAAAGTACCCATAACTCTTTATTGTTTTCAGCCTAAATAGGAATGAGTTCACAAAACATATGATTTCTATTGTAAAAGATGAAGGCTGACTTTCTTCTAGAAGTTGTGATGTTAATTTGATAAAGACCAGAGGTCACCAATCAGATCCCTTTGAGTTTCACAAATATTCATAAGAGAATTGTTACAGTTGTCGCTGTCTTCTCTTTGTCAAGTTACATTCTGTCTGAATTTTCACCTACCCTCTAGTCCTAATGCCCCCCAAGCACCACCTTTTGACAATAGGCTCATTATTTCCAAGTCTCTAAAGTAGCTTTCTGGTCTTTAAGTACAAACTGTCTAAAACAATTTCTAAGATATACTGTTAGGGCTCTAAGGGACTGGAACAAAATCCTATTCCAAAGAGATTTATGCTTCCTCTGTATTTTCTTTTCCTAGACTTCTTTGTTAACTTAGTCCGTAAGCCTTATGCATACATCAGATCTACTGGGGTTTGTAATGTAATGTAAGGTCTGCTGGATATATTCAGTACAACGTCTAACCTCTATCCTAGCTGGTACCTGAAACTTTTCTTTTGTTGTCTGAAGACACACCTCAAGCTATAGATTCCCAAAGCCCTTTGGTTTTTAAGTGGCTATAGCTCACATTTCCGCATTAGGTGTATTTAGGGCTGTGAGAATGACAGTCAAATCATCATTTAAAAAATGCTAAAAAGCTGTTTTCCAAAATAAATACTCTTATTCCAAATAAGATAGACATATCTCAGTGGGACAGATAAAAGAAGAAAAGCACTTACTTCTTATGTTTGGGGAGTGAGGGGGTCCCCCACTATTCTCACAGTCCAGTGCTGCAACTTGAGATTGTTTTAGAAAAACTGACAAGTTTTCATAATAGTAGAAATAACAGTAAGAGCATCAAAGCCTTCCCCAAGTTACCTTGGGCTTAAAAACAGAAAAAGAAGCAGTGGTAGAATTCAAATGCAGACCATACGAGCTACCAACTTTGTTCTAAAGAGTACAAGGGACTATAGAACAGTCAAGGACAGAATGCAAAAAAGAAACTATATTCATCAAAGATCTTCATAGAAAATAAGGATTCCAAAGATCAATTCACTTGACAAGCTTTCTTTCCAGATTTCACTACTAAGCACCAAAAGAACACACTTTGCCACACATTTCCATAAACACACACAAGTTACCCAAATGGAACCTCTAGGAACTTTTAACACAAAAATTGTATCTAGATCTACTTCTTAAAACATTTTGGTCTTTGGGCAACCTGAAGTGTTATCATTTTCCTTCCAATTTTTAAAATTTGTGTGCAAGTTTGGCAGATTTTCAGGCTCTGAGAATAAAATAAATTACTAAATGGAAATAGAAGATGTGGCCAATTTCTAAACAAAATCTTCCCTATTGCTGGAATGTCTTCACTAGCTCATCTAACCCAGAACTGCCGACCGCCATCTTGCTTACTTGTGCTTGTAGAATGTGGGGTCTCTTCTTCCTCATGATGCTCATGGTGAATGAGGGGAGGATGTGCTTCCGGGTTCCAGTTTCCTTCATGAGCAGTGGTGCCATTTCTGTCTACATCTGCTGTGATGATGGTTAAATACACTGTGACTTGTTATCAATCAAGCTTTAATGATTCTGTTCTTCCATTAAAGTGCATGCTATTTAACAATTCTATGCCAAAGTATTATCTCTGAGCATCCACTCTCAAAAATTTTGAGTGACTTTACCTAATTGGTCTCAAGAGAAAATCAATGGGCTTGGAATTTCTTCATGTTCCCTTATTATTCCACTATGATCAGTTTGTCAAAGGCAGCACCATAAATCCTTCAAACATATTCATTTTTATAATGAAGCAACATAAAAATATACCCACATGGTATAATTGATAAATGACTCCTAAATGGAATTAAGTATCCTCATGAAAGTCCACTAAGAATTTCTTGATGAGATACTAGCTAAATTTCCCACTGTGTCCCGATGATTGACCTTTGCAGTATCATAGGCTTTGAGGGGAAAAAAACCTTTCATTAAATATGCATAACCCATTACCAGTTATCCTTGCGGTTGTCTGAAGTAGCACTTCCGGATTTGAATGGCTTGGGTTCCACTGGGTCCAATCCTTGTTCTGTTTTGTGTGGTCAAAAACCCGTGGTGTGGTTGAAACTGTGATAACGATGATTGAAGCAATTAGAAAAATGTTATTTCTTGAGCCTTCGCCACTTGTCTCGCATATAGTCTTGTTTCTGTAGACTATGCAATGAATCATCTATACCAGGTTGTATAGATGGCGGCATGGAAATGGAGGGAAAGCGGAGGATGCCTTCAGCTTAATTCAGCCATATTGGTAAGCATCTCAGTGTCCTTTGCATTCTGTCATAGAATACCTTGGGGTTCAGAACATGAGATCTTCCAGATAAAACAGTCAAAGAAGCTGCAGCAGTAGGAAGGACAGCTTTGAAAACACCAGCCCTTCACCGAGGATAACCAAAGGCGCCATTTTGCCCATCCATGCAGTCTGTAGTATCCCTCTGCACTTGAAAGCCCAGGGACTTAGTCACTGTGTGCTATTTGTAGATCCTCAGGGTGAAGAGGCAGATAACTGAAAGTTATACCATGATAATCACTTTATGTTGTTAGTAATTTCAGTGGGGAAAGAAATGTCTGAGCAGCCAGAGCTTTCCTATAGATGATTCCGAAAAATATTACCTACCTAGAATAGCCATATGTTTTAGCTGTCCATTTCTGAATATTTATCAAACACTATGGTATTCTCATCAAATACAAAACATGTCACGAGCAAGCCATTCATAGCCAATGAAAGAAAATAAGACACCACAGGTAACCAGCCACCATCACAGAAGCACACTGGAAAGAAAGAGGCGTACATCCACCAGCACCCTGATATTGTCACCCAATCTGTTAGGGCTGGAATAGGAGATGCACCTAACAGAAGGATCATGACAAAATCTGAATCAATGTGTTTTGTGGAAAGGTTATTTGCAAATCCATCCTAATTGTTTCAAATTTTATTTTGATACCCAAATAACACAAAACTGTTTTCAGAACTATAATACTGTCAGCTCTATTTTACAAGTTATGAAAATCGAGTTTAGAATCATTAACCACATTCTCAACAAGCATGAAAAGGTGCTTATTATCAAGCAGTTATCGCACCCCTCCAGAAGAAAGAGGGCATCATGTTGAATTATGTCCATAGGTGCTAAGCAGAAAAGTAAACTGAAATTGGAAAATATGCCATAGAGATTTTAAAAATTAAAAACAACAACAACAACAACAAAACACCATGGGAAGTTTTTCCCTGAAGCCTGACCATACAATTCATTTTCAGGTAGATATCTTTGGGTTACTCCCCAGGGGAATTTAATTTCTTCAATATCAAGACCACGTCTTTACTAATGGGCCTACCTGCAAAGCTGGGCCACATCCTGAACACAGGAGACAGTGTAATGTAAAACTCCAGTGTTTTTGATTATTTGGTTTTTGTTCTGAAGTTACCAAAAAGAATTTTCTTATTCCATAGATTAAGCTCTGGAGGGGTGCTGGGTCTAAAAAAATCACTTAAAAGTTTAGATAGAAAATTCTAGTTCCTTTTGAGTATTTGTTATATCAATGTTATATATTCAGATGCCTTCAAGGCCTAAGCTATTTTTTTTTTTTCTGGACCCTTTCTTCTCTGTGTGCTGTCCATTTGAGGATTAAATTGTCAGGTTTTAATGGAATGGATAGAACTTCAGTGAATTGGGGGAGCTCACATAGCACCCCAAAAGCCTTTTTTCTAAGGAAAAGCAAAACTGTGATGGAGTCAGGTTCAGGATTCTCAGCTCTATTCAGCAAAATCTTAAGTCATTACAGGTATGTGTGGAAAACTCAGTAATCTGGCAGACTATTAGACCAACTTTTGCATGTTTTTAACTTTTTAAGGACATCTTTAAAGCTCAATTTCCATCTCTTTGTTCTCAAAAAGTTTTATAATTGTCAAAAATTTGGATACTATTATGTACCAATAGTGGTTTCATTATTTGCTTTTAATAAGTGGTAATGTCTTGTTAAAGCTAACCTGACATTTGCCCTTCCCTTCAAGGTCTTTGGTGTCCAGCTTATTTGTTAAAACTCTGGATTTGTTCCTTTGACCTTAGTCGGGTTTTGATTAAGATAATTCTTGAGTTCCAGCTCCCATCATTTAAGCCTTAAGGGCCTTCAATTTAGGATCTTCTACAACTTTTTTTTTTTTTTGAGATGGAGTCTTGCTCTGTTGCCCAGGCTAGAGTGCTGGAATGCAGTGGCTCTATCTCCTCCCTGATTCACGCCATTCTCCTGCCTCAGCCTCCCAAGTAGCTGGGACTACAGGCGCCTGCCACCACACCGGGCTAATTTTTTGTATTTCTTAGTAGAGACGGGGTTTCACTGTGTTAGCCAGGATGGTCTCGATTTCCTGACCTCATGATCTGCCCGCCTCGGCCTCCCAGAGTTTTGGTATTACAGGCGTGAGCCACCGCGCCTGGCCTACAAATTTTAATTAATACCCTCCTAATCACATTCTTCAAGTCTATTGCTCCAACAGACCATGAGATTCTGAAAGGCAAAGGCTCTGGCTTTTTTCATCTTTGTGTTTCCAGCACCTAGCACAGTAAGTACACAATGAATATTTTTTGGACTGTTTTAATGTCATCCTCTGACAAAGCCTGATCATTCAAAGACAATCTGTAGCAGTAGACTTCATTGATAAATAAAACAGGAAGAACCTGAGACATTAGAAATTTTATGAGATATTTTCCCCACTTCTCAAAACATTCTATTTCTTCTTCCATAATCTCATCAAGATATAACTAAGGTATGATCACAGGTTCACCTATTTTTCACATTAACTACTTCTCAAGAGAGATACAATTAGGTATCACTCAGATTAATCAATAAGCCTTGCATAAATGGCTGTACTGTAATTGATTATTCTTACTGGTGCTGGAGATAAAATCTTCATCATCATCAATGCCTGATCCAGAAAAACTGAGGTGTCTGTCTCTTTCATCTTCATTTTCTTCATTTGGCTCCCAGCCTGCTGAGATGGTATTTGAAGACGTACCTGTTGTGGTGACTTGCATTAGTGGCTGAGCTGGATGCCAGGCAACCCACTTGCAAAGGAAGAAAATCAGGCACAGAAGGTATAATGGATTTCCCGAATTTTTAAAAGAAAGTGAGGGAGTTGACTTGCATACCCCAAATTCTTATGTTCTGGTCTCCGAAGCTAATACATAAATCTCAAAACAAGTGACTGTGATCTTTAAAACTGAATATTCTCTTTAAGAAAGCTAAAATAGGTCTTCAAAGGCCAATGAAAACTCCCCCACGCTTTCAGATGTGTTTATTATTAACTCATTAAGCATATGCCATTAAAGCCAAGCCGTCAAGAACAGAATGGAAAGGTTTCATACGTGCCTTTATTTATTTATTTATTTTTTTTGTCAAGACACCTTCAGAAAAATGTTGGAATCTACACCTGTGTCAGTCATTTCATTGTGTTCACAATTTGCTAATTCATTTTTTGTCTTCAGAGATGGAAGCTACACTGCAGTTCCCAACACTACTTCAGCATAGAGCAAAAATGTGGAGCCAATTAACAGAGAAATCATTTTTGGCATTATTAGGCAATCAAAGGGGTTAACTAAAGTGAACTGTGGTTGAGATATTGAGAAATTCTTTTTCTTTTTGAATAAAAAAAGGAGATGAAAAACTTCATCTTCTTCTCAGTGGTTACTGTAGACAATGTCTTTTTACTAAAACGGGGTTTTCTACATTTTAAATGAGATTCAGGCTATCTTAGGGAATGAGCATTTGTCTTTTCGTATGATTAGTGTCTACCCCAAGAATAGTTCCATTGATGAAGATTTTCTATATTTTTTCAGATCTAGCTATGGTATTTCCTCATGAAAGTCCAAGACTTTTTATGACTGTGGTAATTTTAGAATATACATGAATAATCTTTCAGAGTCACAATTTTGCTACATCATTAAAAAAAAGCTTATTCCCGTTTTATAGTCTCTATATTAACCTTCTCCTGGGCTATACTAATCCATATGTTAGAAAGAAGAAATCTGCTTATTGGTGCCATACAAGCAAACAAACAGATACCAGAGTTCATGATCCTTCTAAAGTCATAATGAACATTTGTGAGAATAGAAGGAACTTTAGGCTTTAATAACATCCCAGAGGTCAATCAAAATTATTCAAGGCTGTCAAGAAAACATATACTATGAGACAATAATAACTCATTACCAGCCATTTGTGTTGTTGTGTGAAGATGACTCTTGGACTCTGATGGTAGAAACAACCATGAAAACCAATCCTGGGTTTCTTGCCTCTTGGTTGCTGTCTCAGTTGCTGTAGCACTAGTGCTCATCAAAGCTGTTGTAATCATGATTGAATTGATTGTTGAAAGATTAATTAACAGTTCCTAAGAAATAGCATTGAATATGCTTGTACTCTTTTACTATTCAAGAGAATCATCTATATTTGATATAGATGGTGAAAAGAATGGGAAAAAGCAAAAAAGTTCCATTTTTTTCCAGAGGCTCAAACTGAAGTTTATAGAATGTCAGAGAGGGAAGGATCTTAAATGTCATCTGGTTCATGCTCCTTATCTTAAAGATTTAAAAATTGTGCTGGACAGAGCTTCTGACCTATCTGAAGTCAGAAGCCTAATTAGCAAGAGTGAGGGCTCCAGGAACACATGAGAGCCATCTTCAAATTTTGAAAGTCTATATAATGTAAAAGAGGGATTAAATTTTTTGTCTCTGGATCCAGGAGGCCAAATTAGGATCTGTGGTGAAAATTTCAGGGAGATGAATATTCTTCCAAATGTTGGATTGAAAAAAGCAATAATCTGAACTATCCAACAATGAACTTCTTCATAAAGTATTATGTTTCCCATAGTCAGGAAGATCACTTGGCAGGAAAGTTGTGTAAGAGATTAAATTATTAGAAGTGTTGATTGAACCAGACCATTTAACATCCTTTCCAAATCTGAGAGTTTATGATTCTAAAACCCAGCTCTTCAGAGTCCTAGCTCCTTAATCTTCTATACAATCTTGGGCAACCAATACCATTCTCCAAGAATTTAGAATATGATATTTCTGCCAGCAATAGATACATAATCTTAACAATCCAACACACAGGGAAAATGACATAGAAGTAGAAGATTGAAAAATATGCCTCTCCACTTTTCTCCATTTAGATTCCAAATCCTCTCACAACCTTGCCCAAGGTAATTTCTTATGTCAAACTATATTTTGCAAAGCAGAATAGGACATTTTGAGTCTCATTCTTTGAAAATAGGATAATCAATCAGGAAAGACAGACAGAGATGAGGTGACCCCAATGATCTTGCTAATAAGACCAGAAGCAAGAGTCTTGATTTAAAAATCTCCAAAGACCGCCATTTCTGCAACCAATAATGCACAAAAATGTGTATCAGAAGAATATGAGCTAACAGTAGACAAAAAACTGAGGACAAGTTCAAGCAGAGAGGCTGAAACCATCATCCCCAAACACAAAAGTAAGGTGAGTTAGAGTTTTTTTTCAGCTATCAAGAAAGCCCAAAAATGACCTAAGATGAAATACTGCCAAAAAGACCTTTTCCTTCACATTCTTTGTCCTATGAAGATAAACATTGTCAACATTTAAAAATAGCATTTTCTTTATTCTGCAATTTCTCTATCCCTCCTCCCCACCCCTGCATGATCTTAGACATTGTGATATGGCAACAATAACATAACATGAGCACTGTTTTCCTCATGATTATTTATAGAAGTAAAGAATATAATTTATCCAATGTCATATAAGGCAAACAAATGCAAAGAATCATTTTTCCATGTTTATTACTCCCCTCTGCAGAAAGAATGCCTAGTTATTTTGGAGTATGGCCATTACCTCCATCAATGAAAGTTAATAAATGAAGGTGTCCTTGCAATCTCCCATTTTTACAGGCTTTGAATTGTTCTTCCCCAAAGCTCCTTTATCAATACACTTTGCAGGTATATAGAGCTAAGAGCCACACACCCAGGGAGCTAGTTAGAGGCCTAGATTCTGATATGGAGCAATAGGTCATTTCCTACATTTTACAGCTGAGATTTTAAGTGTTCAAAGAAGGGTTCAGGGCCTACACTTTGATGAGAGAAATCTGCATTTCCTTCTCTTATTATTGGCTGTGAGAATCAGAACAGCAGAAAGGAGAAGCCTGCACTTTCCGGCAGACTTCTTTCTAAAGGACATTTTCTCATTGAATCACACAGTCAAGTCATTCATTTGTAGTTTTTCATAATTTCATTCATTCATTCAGAAGTATTCATTCATAGTTTTTCCTTCCTCTTATGGAAAATTCATTCTGATTCTACATACACATTGCCAAAAGGAAAACATACAGGACATTTAAGAATATCAGTCATATCCCCAGATCCACAGGCCTTTCTGATACACCAAGTGGTACAAGACCCTATTCTCACTAAGAATGGTGAAGGAGATTTGACGTGATGATGGATGTCTTCTCCCCTAACACTAAAAGATCTGACATTCAGGAGAGCCGATAAGCAAAAGACGAAGCAGTTTACCTATCATTGCTGTTGTTGTGAGATCCTGAGTCTTAGGCTGTGAATTACCAAACCAGGACCAAATCCAGTTATTTTGCTTCTGTGCTGTTGCGTGGCTGTTTGAGTGCACAGTTGAAGTAACTGGATCAATTATGAAAATATCACTTAGTGATATTCCCTCTATAAATCTTCACTTTCAGTTCTGTCTATATATGATGTCTGTATCTATTATTGAATGATAATTAGAAAAGAAAAATCTAGGCCTTGTTTTATCTTTCCAGACTCCTAACATCTCCCACTATCTTAGGACAACATCAGAAATGCAAATTCCACATGGGTATAAATTTCATGCTACTCATTCTTCAAACTGAACCTCCTGAATTCATGATCAAAGCAAAATCAAGCAGCAACTTAATAACCTGTGAAGGAAAGAAATTTTCTATTTTCTTGATTGGGCGACTGAGCCATGAACTGGAGGTTTTCGAAGCAGAATTTCGAACGATTGCTTTCATTCATTTATCTTTGGATTACCTTTGAGTTGCTAGCATGTATTTTTCACATCTGTCTAACATTGTACCCAAGTAGCTTGTGATGACAACTGGCATTTCAAAGCTCCACCCACATGCATCAGCCTCAGGTCAAACTTCGTACTTGAGCAGGAACTTTGCAAAGAAAATGTGTTCAAAGTATTGAAATCAGATAAAGCTTCCTCAGGTATCCATCTACCATTTCTGTTACTTTTTATTCTAATTCAATATGTGTTTCTACCAAAAACCAGAGTAGCCAAAGTTAGAGAAATTCCACATTTTTCTCAGATTAGAGAAAATATCATCAGTAACATTTTGCAATTTAAAATCTCTCATTTGACTCTCAAGTTTGACTTGAGTCCAGCATATTTCCTTGTTGAAGTGGAATGGCAAAAACCATCAGGATAAATATCTAATTTAAGCCAGTTGAGATTTTAAAAGACCACTTTAAATTATATATCCCTTTGAAAATCTATGTTATGACCTCCTTCCTCAAAAAAGAGATGCTACGTATACACACACTCAAAATTTTGCATATTATTTCAGATGGTTCTAGAATGCCTTATGGTCTATCATTGAACCTACTGAAAGTCCATGAACCCTATGTTAAAAACTTTGACTCTACCTATATCAAATGCCAACAGGCATTTGTGCCCCACTAGCACAGTACGTTCTGTCCTCTAAATCAGGCTTGTCCAACCCACACCCTGCGGGCCACATGCGATCCAGGATGGTTTTGAATGTGGCCCAACAAAAATTCATAAACTTTCTTAAAACATTATGAGATTTTTTTTGTGTGTGTTATCCCATCAGCTATGGTTAGTGTTAGTGCATTTTATGTTTGGCCCAGGACAATTCTGCTTCTTCCAATGTGGCCCAGAGAAGCCAAAAGACTGGACACCCCTGCTGTAAAGGACACATTAGTTTAGAACAGAGAGTAGAGAAATAGGAGCCAATTTTACCCATGAAGCTTCCCGACAAACCTGAGCATCCCCTGGAAAATCCACAGACACCACATTCTCACCTCAGAAACTTTATTAAAGATGCACAGTTCCCACCACCCTCACCCAATAGTACACCAGGAAAAAATAGTACCAGAGGAAACAAACCTACAAGAACAAGATAGAAATAGGTGTTATTTTTGTTTTTCTGAAAGGAGTGGTATGAGGGGGAGAAATAGAAAAAGCTACTGCCTAGCCAGCAGAATTTCTAATTTTCCCCACCTAAATAGGCCATACCAGATCTGAAAAAAAAAAAAAAAAGAAAGTATTCCTTTGACACCCAGAAGACAAGGAAATACAGTGTTCCAAGGCAAGAGTCAGTTTCCTGAATTAGTTTAGGTTTCTTGATCCCAGAGAGCTCCAGGTCACCAATAGGAAGAGGCTGATGACACTCAAGGTAAACAGCCTGCTGGAAGCCTAAAGCTACCCAGATGGTTATTCTTACTAGCTGTCCCTATTGCCACCCACTACAGGCCCTTCAGGAAGGAATGAGCCAGCCGAGCCAAAGACAGCCTTCTTCTATGCTCTTAGCCAGCACTCCTCTTGACCCCTGCCCTCCTGCAATGCATGAGGGAGGTTTTGCAATCACTCCCTCTCACTCTGTCCCAGCTCTCAGTCCAACAGTGATAAGGTTTTGCAAATCTCCTCACTGGACTTTAGAGATACAATTCTATTCGGAAGCCTATCGGTGTTGAGTTTTCCTGTCATGCCATTATGCTACGTTCAAGTTTCCACCAGGTTGTTTGCTTTGGTACCTTTCTTTGCATGAAGCGATCCACTTTGGAGCTGCTACTGGTCCCATTGGGTCCTACAGTACTTCAGTGACTCTCAGGTTAGCCTTGGACTCATCTGGTAGACTCATTAGTCTCTTTCTTTTTTAGCTGCTGAAGGAAACTTAACTAATTTCTCTGGGAGGAGAAAGGCACAATTCATTTCTCAGCCCAAATCCTGAACTATGTTTTAGTTAAGTCTCATAAACACTCCTTTTCCCTAAACTAAATAGTATATGGTCTCCATGAAGGTAAGTCCAACTCTGAATTCCTAGCATCCTAGAGCCATGTCTGGCATACAGAAGACCCCAAATATTGATTCAATGAACAAATATCTCAGTAATCTTTGCTTCTCTTCAATGTTACTTCCTACCCATGTTTATCCTTGAGTCACAAGCATTCTAATAGGCCTGGTACATAGTAGGTTCTCAAAATACATTTGCTGACTAACTTAGGAAGGGAAGACACAGTTCTTAAGAGATATCCTATGGGGGTTAATAAAATGTGCTAATTGCCTTTTTAAAACACACATGAAATACTATTTTGTATAGGCTATTAGTGGCTTGAATGTTAGCTATGTATGGTCCCCACAAGTTATGTTTTATCAGGATTTTCTTCTTTGGTGGAAAGCAGTACTTTAGGGTAGACCTATTCTGCTTCCTGCTGAGACCACTAATTATTGTGTTTGCCAGCATCTGACAAAATTGCATGCCATAATGATAAGCACCTTTGACATGGTTACTTTAAAAAGACAGGAACCCAAGAAGCAGTGAGTGGCTAGCAGCACTGCCTGCTTGGTTTGCAGAAGCCTCTCTCAAGAAGGGCTGCCCACGGGACTACCAACAATAAGCTGATGCAAACTCAAGAGGGCCAATCACCCAAGAAAGCATGGACAGCTTGAAAAAGCTGCTTTTTAAAAGGCCTCAAAGAATGTGCAGGGAGTGATGGGAACCCGAAGCCTATTTATATCATGCCCTCAGCCAGAGACTGACAGAAATTTAAAACACTATTGCACAAGTGACCTTATAAATGAAATCACAGTGCTGTGGGGGTTTCCCTGGTTTCTGGGTGGCGAGGAATAGAGAAGGGCCCTGTCTTGAGTATTCACAAGCTAGCGCATTTCTGCCACACTCTTTGGGGCCCAAGTTTCACCCCTCAGGAGCTATAGCCAGGAAAAGAGAAAATCCACACCATACTAGGAAAACTGCTCCAGATGCAGATGCCCTATTTGAGTTTGATTAATCCTCCACTGGAGGAACATGGCCCATCTGGGAGCCCATTTCAAAACAAACTGTAGAAGAAAAGCAAAGAGGGAAACAGAGGAGACAAGAGATATGTAAACACTTTCCAGTGGAGCTGAAGCGCGAGGGGCAAACTCCAAAGAAATCGAACGCAATGTTTACATACTTCCACTCTTGCAGCTCTGAGTAACGAATTACCCCCACACACCAAGTAAGTATTGAGAACATTCCCCAACAGGCTGGAATATAGAGCTCTTACGCTGATTTGATTTCACCAGAAAACTCATCCAGATATGCTTCCTTGGACCAAAAATGAAGGAATTGTTGAGTAAATCATGGTTGATGAAAATCACTGAATATTACACTATCAATAGTTTAAGTGTAAATCAAGTTAAAACATAAAAAGCCACAGTTGACCCATGTATGCCTACAGTTCCATTATTGGAACGCTAAGCATGTGGGAGTTATTTATATCCTACTGCTCAAGGTCATCACCAAGTTCTGATTGCAAAAATTCAAAAAATTGCAACCTCAGGCATAAACGGGTTTTTAAAAAGGTGATAGTGGAGTAGTACGCAAACTCTATGGATCCCGACTTTATGAAAACAATATTATCCATAGGTGGATAAGAACAAGAAGGAAACATGAAAAAATGAAAATGGTTTTCATACCAGGCTTGAATTGTCACTGTATCTCTGGGGATAAGAGAATAAGGAGGGCTCTCCCCAAAATAAAACTTCCTATATGGCACTTCTTATGCCAAGGTAAGAAAAACAGTTATAGATGAGGAAAAAAAGGTAGGCAGTAGTAGTCAGTGCATACAGTTCACTGACAACCACAAGAGCCCACCTCCCCAAATGGCATCACCAGCTTCCAGCTGTCTAGAGATGAGAAAATCAGCATGTGAGTGTGCAATGCTCAGGAAGGTCAGAGACATTTTGCCAAGGAATTGCTATTGGGAAGCACAGTGATTTATTTTCCTTACTGGTAGCAGGGATTCTGTCTGTGCTGTCGGTGATCCAGGGACCGTCTTCGTCTGGGATGGGGTGTGCAGTAGAAAAGGTGTGAAAGATGTAACCTCCCGAAGTGCTGCTCCTTTCACTGGAGGATCCGCTGCTCACGTCATCGTCAGTAGGGTTGCTGGGGTAGATGTCTTCAGGATTCGTTCTATATTCTCCTTTCTTGACATAGCGAGTGCCATCGGGGTTAACAATAGCTGGGAGAGAGAAAAGGTTCTTACAGAACTTCACAGCTCATATTTTGAGTTTGTGGATTAGCATTTAACATAATGACTTCAAAGCTATTTTCCTCTGCAATGAAAAACACCTATCTATCCAGTGATGGGACAGAGTGGCAGATGCACTTAGAAAGTGCAGCCTCCCATCCCCGCACACACCCTGGGGATGAGGCAGGAAATAAGGAAGTACTGGGGAGTCCCATCCCCATGTTTGAATCCCAGCTTCATAGAGCTCTGGACAAGGCAACTCTGAGCTTCAGTTTCCTCATTTGTAAAATGGGGATTCAGTGATACATTGTAAGTAAAGTGCTCAGCACAGTATTCAAAATACAGTGGGTGCTCAATAAATAATCATCCTCCCACTTGGTTCCCTATTCTCCCTTCTGAAGTACATATAAAATGTGTTGCTATTAATTCCATATATTCCTCCAAAAAGGATTTGAAGTAGCAGACTAATAGCCTCAGCAGGGAAGATATATCTGAAAATTGATGAAGATTTAGATTTTCTTTTTTAAGGGGCAAATTTTGTCTGCTTGTGCAAACACCCACTTCTGGCTAGGAAATCAACAGGTCTAAATACAGACAGAGCCTTTGCAGTTCTCTGTGAAATTCAACCTGGAAATTAACAAGCACAGATATACACCAAGATCAACATCTGTGGTTGCAACAAGCACATGACTAGAATGAACTGGAGAAGAAAAACCCTGAATGGATTCATTCATTATTCCTCCCTAAAAGTATTTACTGCTCTCAAGTCTGGGCCACTCACTACGCAAGTGAGATGAAATTGTTTTCTGCTGTATTGCATTGATGGGACTAAAGGTTCTTTTTGGCCACCTATTTAGCTTGCTCAAATGGAACTTTTTTTTTTTTTTGAGATGGAATCTCACTCTGTTGCCCAGGCTGGGGTACAGTGGTATAATCTCGGCGTGCTGCAACCTCTGCCTCCCAGGTTCAAGCAGCTCTCCTGCCTCAGCCTCCCAAGTAGCTGGGACTACAAGTGCACGCCAACACACCCAGCTAATTTTTGTATTTTTAGTTGACATGGGGTTTCACCATGTTGGCCAGGCTGATCTTGAACTCTTGACCTCAGGTAATCTGCCTGCCTCGGCCTGGGATTACAGGAGTGAGCCACTGTACCAAGCCTCAAGTGGAACTATTAATAATACATAAATGAAAAAAAAAATCAACGTGTCAATCACCCTGGTAATCTCTGCAGGTGAGGATTTGACAAGGAAATATTGTTGACCAAACTCTTACAGGTCTGGACTTCAAAAGAGAACTGTGGGTATCAAAGAAACAGGGCATTTACTAAACATCTACTATGGGCTGGGCATACATTAGACGTAGTGTCTTTTACAAATTTCCTGAAAATTCTCATAGGTTGTTCCATTATATGTATGAGAAAACTGAGGATCAGAAAAACTATGTCACTCCTCTAAAATCTCACACATGGTGAGGAACTGGGATTTCAAACCGGGCCTGACCGAGACAGCACATCTCATGTCATAGCCATCATGGTGTGAAGCCTCCCCTTCCTATTGCAAGGCACAGGTCAGGGACAATTCCTTGCACAACAATGTGGGGCTAGGTTTGTATGGTCTACAAAGATTCTCATCCGTCTGCCACTGCAACATCATGCCCATGAGCACTGTCAGTGTCCAGCTGTGAGGAAGCAGAAATCAGACCTCCTCAACACTGTACTGTTTCCCTTTAAATGAGGCTCAGAGGCAGTAAGATCAGGGTTAGCAGACTAGCCTATTTGAAAGTTCTGGTTCAGATTTTCTGATTTCTAAAACGCTGGAATAGGCCAGGCATGGTGGCTCATGCCCGTAACCCTGGCACTTGGGAGGTTGAGGAGGGAGGATTGCTTGAGCCCAGGAGTTCAAGACCAGCCTGGACAACATAGTGAGACCCCCATGTCTATTTTTAAAAAGTGCATGAATATATACATCTGTGGATAATCAAATATCAGGATGATTTAAGATGGATGTGGTATAAATAATGTCAAAACTCATATCAGGAAGTTTATATCCTTCATGATTATCTTTCAATACTTCAGTTATATCAAACATGAAATTGCTAATTGGGGCCAAAATGCCCCTATGCCCGACACTTATTAATCCCCCTTTATAAGAGAGAACATGACTCAGACCCAGAGTTTTCAGCAGCTACAAATTAAGAACATTATTTAATTTTTCTTACATTTTAATATGTTATTAAGGATACCTTCTATTGATGATGTGGTGTTGGTTTTCCATGTGCAATTTCTTTTTAAAAATAAATGCATTTTAAGTAGAAAACAATGGGTCAATTAAATAAAAAAATCAAGTAAATGATAGCATTGTATATATAGAGATACCAAAAACATGTGAAAGTGGGTTTCGAATGACCGAAGTTTGAGGAACGATGCATGAGTGTAAACCAGAGAGCAGTTTCAAGTCATTGCAGAAAAAAGGGAAGGGACACTGAATTAAAGCCAACTGTCCTTAGTCTTAGGGAAATGACTAATATTCTTTTTTTTTTTTTTTTTGAAATGGAGTCTCACTCTGTTGCCCAGGCTGGAGTGCAGTGGCGCAACCTCAGCTCATTACAACCTCTGCCTCCTGGGTTCAAGCCATTCTCCTGCCTCAGCCTCCCGAGTAGCTGGGATTACAGGTGCCTGTCACTACACCCAGCTAATTTTTTGTATTTTTAGTAGCGATAAGGTTTCGCCATATTGGTCAGGCTGGTCTCAAACTTCTGACCTCAAGTGATCCAACCACCTCAGCCTCCCAAAGTGCTGGGATTACAGAAGTAAGCCACCACACCTGGCCCTAATGTTCTATTCAAATATACCATAGAGAACCCACCTGAGCCCCTTTCCCAAAATAGGAAAATTCAATTAAGATTAGAAGAGAGACATACTTATGGTAATTGGTCCATCAAAGGCATTGGGCAGGTCTGTGACTGATGTACAATCTTCTTTAAGTGGAGCTATGGGGTAGGAAAAAAAAAAGGATGAGAACACTTTAAAAATATGAGGAAAATCTATTCTCATTTTTATTAGTCAGTTAGGATGGAGTTTTATTATAACTTGTCCCAAATAATTTTCTTTTTCCAAAACTCCGTAAGTTGGCTAGGAATTTCTCTGTCTTCTGTGATGTGTTTTCCATTTTTACTTGATTTCATAAATTTCTGGAACTTATGAAATTTCCAGAAATTTCCCCACCCCCATGAATTCATTCATTAATAAATGTACATTCTATATCAGGCACTGTGGAAGCCTGAGATAGACATGGCTCCTTCTCTAATGCAAACACATTAGGGAGGATTTTTTAAGTTTGTGATTATAAAGGTAATGCAGGAACATTGCAAAAAATTTAAAAGTAAAGTATGAACTATCATGAGAAAATCATTTATAATCTGGGCAATCCACAGAAATGATGAGAAAACATGACAGACACACAATCAAATGTTTATCAACATGAACAGCCTGACAATCTGAAGGTTAAAATAACATAATCATAACAAAGAATTTACTCAGTTGAAATATTAAAAACCAAATGAATCTCTAGTCTTTCATTAATGTAGTAATGTATTTATTAATTTAGCTGATCTTTTGAAGTGCTTACTCTGTATAGACAGCTTCTCAGCATGTTGCTTCTGAGGTTGACCACCTTTGGCCTAGGTGCCCACAATATTTTTCAAGGTTACTGTTTTGGCATATCTCATTATTGGTATTTCTAGATTTTTTCCTCTTGTTCTCCATTTATCCTCTGCTCTTTCATCCCTTTCTTTAGGAATAAAGATTTCTGCCTGAATCTTGGACCTGACTGATCATCCACAGATGTTACTGGTAGCCCTCTGAGAAGCACTGTCTCAAGCCCCCTGACAACAGACCCTGAAACTTCCACCCTGCATTTCATTCCTTGTGTCTTAAAAGCAGACTGCAGAGTAGCTGAAGCAACCTTCCATTCATGCCAAAGTGCTTTGTTCTGTGACTAGACCTTGAATTGAGCTCTAAAGCCTCAGAGAGCTTTAAACTGGTTTTGCTGCTGTAGAAAGTTTAAGTCCATTTGTGCATTACAGTTTTTGTACTGTGTGTGTGCATACGTAAATGTAAAATGGAAATTTATTTGTTAGGTTAGTTTCTCCCAGAATTGCTCCTGGCAAAGAGGAAGAAGGAGATGGATGGGTGGAGACGGATAGATGGATAGAGAGAGGGAGGGAGGAAGAGAGGCAGGCAGACAGACTGCTATCACAAGTATTTTAAGTGTCCTGCTATAATTTTTGCGTGCGCATAAAAGTGAATAGAAACACAAGTTGAACAAAACAGGTTTTGTTTGCTTCCTAGTACATGCGAGCATCTTTTCCCACAGATAAAAGAGGATAACCTTAACCTGCTCATTTCTTTGGCCTCATAGTGAAACTAACTGTCAGTTTTATACATTCGATTGGAAAAAACAGAAAGTTTTAGGAAAAGCCATTCTTGCAAAGCCTGTTCTAAAAGATTTCTCAGATTTTTTAAAAAAGAAATCTCACCTCCTTGGCGAGGCCATTCCTTACCATCCAATCTAAACTGCTTCATCACTCCCCCACACCTGTCACCATCACATAGCATCTTGCTCTCATTTCTTCTTCATGTTTACCACTATATAAACTTATCTTGTTCATCTTACTTGATGGCTGTTAATGGCACATCTCTCAATCACTGCTTCCTGCTACCTGCCTCCCTTCCTAGAAATATATAAGTTCCACAGATGAGTAATAACTTTATCTGTCTTGGCCAGAACGTTTATGTGTGATGGGGACAGATAAACATGCAATAAAAATGTGTTAAATGGATGAAAAAAGAAAAAAGTACCAATATAATTTCCCAAGGGTCTATTCTTCCAGTAAACACACCTAAGATGTTAACCCCCCAAAATGGGTCTCCAAATATGTACAGGTCAAGCATTTAGATTATCCCTAAATGATAATGCCATAAGAAATAATTAAAGGAAGTTACATCTATAACTCTTCATTTATTACTTTTAAGCATCTACTCAACACTTATATGCCAGACCATATAAAAGGAGAAAAGAAGATGAGCATGCTTCTGTCCCTGCTTGTGAGAAATTCACAAGGTCATCGGGGACAGTAATAATTAATATTAATTTAGCTTTTTACAGTTTTCAAAAATATTTTCCAAAATTATTGCACTTGAAAATAAGGGCATATAACCAACCTGGGAGATTTGGTGGAGTATCTATCTTGTTTCTCATGGAAATATCAGCAGAAACTGATCCAACCTATGAGATGTTTCTGATATTTGTATGTTGTGCATACCTGGAACCAGGCTTTGGATTATGGCTTCTTAACGCCAGGGATGCAGCAACCTCCCCCAACTTCAAATATAACTGCAAGTAACAGTACACTGGGAATTTCCAGGCAGCAAGTTGTAATAGAATGGAGCATGATGTCAAAAACCCTAAGACAGTTTTGTAAATTGTTAGAGCATTCGTTCACATGGACCCCCTTCATGCTCCAATTCACCTTAACTTTTATAAAGAACATCAAATCTGGCAAATACGCTTAGTGGATGGTGACCCAAATGTGCAATTAACACACATATGCTCTCATGTCGGATTCCAGGGCCTCATTAGATAGCCTTTCTTTCCATTTAATGAGCTCTGTACTGCTTGGAAAGCTAGACCTGGTGAGGTATTCCTGAATCTGAGGACTTGTTAGAAATTCTCTGAGGTGGGTATTCTCATAAACCTTGGCTTCAACACACCAAAATAACCAAGAGAAACATTAATTATTCAGTCTAGCCACTAATCTGCAGATAGAAAAGCACCCTCTTCAATGCTGGATACATTTTAGTTATCTCAGAAATATTCTCAAATAGTTGTTGAATAAAGGAGGAAATGAATAAACAAATACATGTAGAATCTTCCCTTTAATTCTACCTTCAGAATAAAATGAGGCACTTGACTGAAAGCAAGCTTAAATGAATCAATTCAAGTCAGTTCTGTGTTCACACAGAAGTCACCAGGCTCACATTGGTCCTCAGCAACTGAGAATGGGGGGAAAAAAAATCACAAAGGTCTTTTCAAGTTCTGCCTTATTTTCATTTGTTAGCCACAGGCCATGTTTTCTAAAAATATTGCTAAAACTTTAAGCTTATGGAAGCTATCTACTAAGATCAAGCTGACTTTTGTCCCTATAGCTGTTTTATGGGGGGATCATAAAACATAAAAGCTGCTAATTTAGCAGCTTTCAGGCTAAATTAGATTCAGGGATCCTTGCAATGAAATCCTTTGCATACAGCAGTTTATCAAAATCTTTAGCTCACTTAATACCCCCATCATCTGACTCTAATTCAAGACATTTAGAATTTATGTATCCCTAAACACATTTATCCTCTTCTCCAGTTTCTTTATTTTTTTTTTTTTTGTCTCATTGCTTCAACGAGATTGTTAACTCCTTTAAGACAAGAAATGTAGCCTCCAGTTCCTTCTTACCCCATCTGTGCCTAGTGCAGTACTGAGCACATAGAGGTGATCAATAAATATTCCCTTTAAACTTAAATAAAAACTTACAAAAGTAGCTATCAATATTGAGTCAATTTGGAAAATAGACAAAAGGAAAAATAGTACTTCTAGCTTTATTATTTAATTCATCCATTTTAGTAAGGAACATACCCCCTGTACTTCTCAAGCTTTTCAACTGAACTAACCCTCCAAGGAGAAGAAAATTAATCAATGCTCTTGCTCCCAACTCCAGGGATGGACCCAACCTCATGAACAAAATGAAGGATAGAAACAAGTCTCAGTAGCAGCCTGCTTAGATGGCTTCGATGCCAGGCAATCAAACAGTGTGAGCTTCTACCTATTTGAGTTGAGGTTCCTTTTGGCAAGTGAAACCAACTTGCAAAACAGGTAAGACAATGTGGTTATGCAACTACATAATTTATTGCATGCATTCATTCAGTAAGACTCAATGGGAGATGCAATAAGCAGTGCCCAGAGACTCAGGAGTGTACAACTTCAGGCCAGCCCTTTCCCACTGAGCCAACCTCTTTGTCTAAAGCACAAACTTTTCCCAACGTCTCCCTCTGACCTGTTGCACCGGATGGAGCTAGCTAGACCACATGTTGCTCTATGTCTATTTCTTGCTTTTTTATATGTGGTTTTCTCATTATAATATCATTAGAGTGACATGCTAGACATGGGTATGGGAACTTAGTATATATGAGTCGTGTACTATTTAGCGTTAATTGGACTCCCTTCCCTTTATCAAACTCCGTTTGTGTTCTTCACTCATATAACAGGGAGGAGTAAACATTATACAGTTTTCTGTTCCTGTTTTGTGTGTCTCTCCATAGGTTTAATGACCTGTAAATTTTTGTCAAAATCTACTAGCTTCACACACTCCATTTCAACTAGCCAGCCCTGATACTTTGTCCTAAACTCTAGATTTCTTCTCTGAATTTCCACTCTGATACCTACTGTTCACACAACAAAGGGTGGGTGGTGTAGATTAAAGCCACTGATGTCATCTCACAATTAATTTTAATTTTTTTTATTAGTAGGTAGAAGATCTCATAATTAAGTTGATGTTCTATTTATAGCTTAAAAATCCATGCAGATTTTTATATTTTACTACCATAAATATATATGGTATATATATGGTATATGTGATCTATATGGTATATATATGGTATACGTGATATATATGGTATATATATATCTGTGATATCTTGATTTTATATATATATTTATATGTGTTTGTCTCAGGCTGTTAATGTCTTAAGTCCCTTTCCAGCTAATTTAACATCTCCTTCCCATCTTTGAGGAAAACTGACACTCCAACAAGATGTACCAAGTTTACCTCAAGGCTTCATCTTTCCGTTCACACAACTTCAAACTTTCCATGGGAACAGAAGACCCAGTTTAAGAGGTAAGACTTTTGACAGGTGACATCCAGATATTTGACATTTATAATTTTGATTCTTCTCAAAAAATTCTGAAAATTCATGATGCATAGAACTATTTAATTTTGCCAGGACTTGAATAAGGCTCATAAGCCTGAGTTTCTAGGTTAATGGTTGGGAGAAAGTCACAAAGACATAGAGAAAGGCTGGCCTGTGTCCTAGCATCTACATCTTAACTTAGGTTTCTTCTCCTCTGGTTCTCTCAACTGTTGGGTAAGGGATATTTAAGAAGGTCAAAGGCATACCATATACTCTCCAAGAATTTTTTCCAGCCCTCTCATATAATAAATAGCTCTCAGCTAAGACATTTGACTTACACCCCAAAGCTATCATTAGATTCATGTCACTCCCTTATTCAAAACCTGTAATGACTTCCCATCACACTGAGAATGAATCACCCCCTGTTAGCGGGCCCTTGCTTAGCTCTCTGATGTTGTTCCTCGGCATTCTCCCCTCTGAGCACTGATATTCTCACAACAGGCCAGGGGGCACTTTTCCTGACCACCTTCTCAGAAAATAAAAGCATCCCTGACACTAGTTAGCCTTGTACTCTGCTCTCTTTTTTACAACACTTGTATCACTTTCTGACTTCTTACATGGCAAGCTTGTCCAACCAGCGGCTCACAGGCCACGGGTGTTCCAGGATGACTTTGAATGTGGTCCAACACAAATCCGTAAACTTTCTTAAAACATTATGAGATTTTTTGTGTGTGATTTTTGTTTGTTTTTTAGCTTATCAGCTACTGTTAGTTTTAGTGTAATTTATGTGGGGCCCACGACAATTCTTCTCCCAGTGTGGCCCAGGGAAGTCAAAAGACTGGACACCCCTGAAGGGTATTTAATATTTATGTGTTTATTGTTTGCCTCCCCAGTTTAGCATGTAAGTTCCATGGAGACAGGAGTGTTGACTCTGCTGTACAGATATTGAGTGAGCATTTGTTATGTAAATGGAGGCTATGAGAATCCCCACTTGAGCTGAGCTCCAAAGACCAGGCTCCCAAAGCCTCTCATGCCAACAGACACCCCCCCTCCCCGAGAACCAACCTGAAGCATTGAAGCAGTATGTGTCATACTGGGAGGTGTTGGACGTGAGGATGTACACCCCTGTGTGGTTTGCTGCACAGATGGAGTTGGGCTGAATCCGGGGAATCACCACGTGCCCTTCTATGAACCCATACCTGTAAGAGAAAAACAAGAGGATATTGACCTAAAAGGTTAAGATGGGAATTTCATAATATCCCATTGAATGACATTTAATGCCGTGCAACTCTTCACTCAATTCACCTCTAGGGATATCGGAGGTTTCAACAACTGAGTTATGTGAAATCCAAAAATAACAGCATAGAGAGGGAAAGAGATCAACAAGACTAATAGAAACAAAGTGATTTTATTTAGAGACCTATAAAGAGCTTTAAAAAAAAAAATCATGAAAGGAATCATTAGTTTCAAATAAAATTTGTGTTCAGCAGTGTTGAGTCTATCTGAACAAACAGAAGGAAGCGTGAGTCACAGAAGAGAGAAGTTTTGATGTGAGATTCATCCTGGCTCTGGATTACTTTCATGTTTTCCAGAAAATACACAAAATGGCCAGCTTCCATAGATAGGAAGGGGTGCTTCTTCATTTCAGTGCACATATTTCAGACCTGTCTCATGTCCCATTCCCCTGCTTCTTTCTCAGCCACAACTTTTCCTGCGAGTCCCCTTACTCCATACTCCATTATCCTAAACACAAAGCCTTGTTCATATGCCAAGTACACAGCACAGCACACGGCCTCCTGAGCATTGCAGGCATAATTCTATTGCCAGTGGGAATAAATTAACCATCATTACAATAGGAGTCATAGCAATTAAGTAAGCAGATAGCAGTGGCTCATGTAGCTCAGGAACTTTCCAGAAGCAGCACAGCCAGAGAAACGCATAGCCCCTCTCTCTCCGCCAAGGTATCTCTGAGAGTGTATTACAGCTGGAGGCCCTTTCAGATACAACATACACAGCCCAGCCTCTTCTAGCAGCATCCTGATGGCTAAAAAGTTGCTTACTTTTTAATTGTGCTAAAAACACAAATTTTTCTGAATATAAAATGCCTCAAAAAAATGAGATGTGGGCTGAGAAAATGCCATGTGCAAGAGAAGCTGTGGTGCAGCAGGAGGGCAGAGAGAAGGAAGCTAAATCCAGCAGGTTTTTCAAAATTCAATTCTGGCTAAAATGCACATTGTTGCTTTTCATCTTTCCTGCCAGGGGCAACAGCATGGAGTGCATCACCCTGCAAGACCCATGGAAATGTCTCTGAGTCTGCAGTTCCCAAGCACACAGAACTCCTATCTATGTGGCAATTGTAGCTCGCATGACTAATTTCTCATCTAAACAGACAAACTGGTTTCCCCAAAGCCTCTTTAGCTTGGCAGGGGATACAGGCACAATTAAATCAAAATGAGTTTTCATATATCTAAGAGTTGCTACCAATCAGGGTGGGGTAGACAAAAGAGAGTAGCTGCTAAGGTTTTTTCCTAACCCATGAGACTCTGCCATCTGTCCTATGGCAGAAAGCTGATTCATAGCTACTGGAGTGAAATTATGGAAATAAGTTTTGCAATCCTTAATACCAGTTATGGGTGAAATGATAGATTTCTTTGGCACAGTTTTTCTTTTTCTAAATAATACTTCTTGGTGAACCTACCTGCCAACTCACCCCCATCACATCATGTCATCAAGTATGGATAACAACGACATTCTAGAATCTATTGCATTCTCTTTGTAAGCTATTACTGAGTTTTTGCCACCTCATGTTGCCTGCCGGTTTTATGTGTCATGCTAACTGTAAATTGGGGATATTAAAGTTTGTATGTGTGTATGTGGCATGAGTAAGTGACTGTTCACAAGGAGGAAAGAATATTTAGCAAATCCAGACAGCATACTTTCCTCCCCTTTTAAGCCCCTGAGGAGGGCTTGGTCATTAAAATCCTGTCCTGGGCTCAGGCTAAGCAGAACCAGAATCCCAACTCCTCTTTGGGCAGACTGTGTGTGTAACTTCTCTAAGCCTCAGTTGCTTCATCCATAAAATGAGGTGATAATATTGATCAACAGTGCAGTTTGAGAATTAAGTGAGGGTTTGGCCAGGTGGGCAGTAGGGCTCCCAGCATCTAAGTGCTTGATGATTGGCCAGTGGCAGTTGTAAGAACTCCCCTGGTCCTCAGCATATGGGAGCATTTCTATATTTTGCAAGTATGCCTTGTTTGTATTTCACAATCGAAGTTCAGCTTACTAAATTCACTTTCTTAGGCCAGTGGCCTAGTCAGGGCCATAATTAAACAATTAGCCTTGGGAATAGAATAATGGATTTGCTAACTGGCCTTTCCTTATTGCATCCTACAGTATAAGTTCAGTAGCCACCAGAGCTTCTCCCTCTCTCTGCTCCTTTCATATTCTCCCAGACCTAGCTCTGAACACATACAGATGTCTATGTACATCTGCTCTTTATTTTAGAGTGGTGCTGCTCGATAGAACTTTCTACAACGATGGAAATGTTCTCTAACCTGGGTCATCCAGTACAGTAGCCACTGGCCATTGGTGGCTAACCGAGCCCTTAAAATGTCATTAGTGCTAGTGAAGAACTAAAGTTTCAATTTTAGTATTTTAATTAATTTAAGTGTAAGTCACCACATGTGGCTAGTGGCTACCATATCAGACAGGGCAATTTTAGGCAAAAGATTTTCCTTTTCCCTTTCAGCAAGAGTCTCAGCCATCACTCATAATGTGGGTGCATGACTATAATCAGTGTGGGAGGATAGAAACACTTAACTTAAACTTCATGGTTTCCATAAAGAGTTCTGCAGCTTGACTTTTCAAAAGCAGTCTGTGTGCATGTGAGTGTGTGTTGCAGAGAAAGGGAAATCGTATCACCTAAAGACACTGCAAAAGCACACCTGCAGGCTGGGGTAGAAGCTTAGAGCAGTTGTAGAGGTTACTCAGTCCTCTTCTAATGAAAACAAACCGAACCAAAACAATTCACTGTGATTGCCATCATGGCTTGCTCTTCTTGTGCACTGCTTAACACAAGACCATTGGAAATTCAAAAAATAAAGTCCTTGCTTGTTGTGATTATCTTGCTTGGAGCCATAGTTTGAGGAAGGCTCTATGGAGCTCTAGAATATCTGGTAGGAGCCCTCTCAGGGCTCCCAATAATAATATAACTTCATATAATATAGCTTAATAGCTTTCATGCCTTTTTATTTACTTTTTCAAACCAGAGAAACATAGAAGAGAAACCAACAAAATTTTTTTTGAAGAGAGAGCAAGGTAGAGTAATTTGAAAAGTCTGCTTTGAGCCAAGTCTGCAGGGCCAAGACTCTACCAGCCACATATTTATTTTAAACACTGTTATTTGGTTTATGTTTCCTTGTGGTTCTGACAATGATATTGCAGCTTCTTCAAAGCCAGGAGAGCTCTAATGGCTTCCTCTGGGTTCCCGCTCTATGATTCACAAAGGTGTCTGTAGCTGACTTTAAACTCCAGTTGTCATACAGGTTCCAAATTGACTTGGCCAAATTAATAGGTGGGGTTGACTCTTTAGGCAATAGTCCATTCAGCTGTGGGAGAGGAGCCTTCCAGTTCTAAGCCCAGCTCCCTGGTCCCAGGCCGCCAGCTTTCGCCAGTGGTCGGGTGCTGGTATGTTACCTGCAGGTCTCAAATCCGATGCTCAGAGCTTTCTCCATCTGGGCCATTGTGGGCAAGGTGCTATTGAAAGCCTTGCAGAGGTCAGCAGCCTCCGTCCGAGAGATGCTGTAGCGACCATTTTTCTCCACGTGGAATACACCCGCAAAGCGGCAGGTTATATTCAAATCTATGAGAAGAAATAGAAATGTTAGATTCTTTTGCATAATTTGGAGACAGTAAGAAGTTCACTTTAGGACAGACTCCTTAAAAAGCCAAATAAGGCCGGGTGCAGTGACTCAAGCCTGTAATACCAACACTTTGGGAGGCCGAGGGAGGTGGATCATCTGAGGACGGGAGTTCGAGACCAGCTTAGTCAACATGGCGAAACCCCGTCTCTCCGAAAAATACAAAATTTAGCTGGGTGTGGTGGCACACACCTATAGTCCCAGTTACTCGGGAGGCTGAGGCAGGAGAATCACTTGAACCCAGGAGGCAGAGGTTACAGTGAGCTGAGATCATGCCACTATGCTCCAGCCCGGGTGATAGAGCGAGACTCCATCTCAAAAAAAAAAAAAAAAAAAAAAAAAAGAACAAACCAAAAGCCAAAGCCAAATAAACTTCTCTGCTAGCCAGAGCCTTCAAAATTCACTCCAGCATTCCAAAGCACCATGATATTAAGCTCAAATCTGAGGTAAGACACAGTAAAATAGTGTCACTCTTACATTCTCTCCATTGATTGCTCTGCAACAAAGTTTTTTAAAAGCAAATGATTTAATTTTGATTACTGATGTCATATAAACTTACGGAAAACTTACAAAACACAGGAAAGCAATGAAGGAAAATAAATCCACCACTACAAAAACTACAGCAAACACTTTTCTTTATCTTCTTCCAGTTTGTTTACTGAATACACACATTCACACGTGCACACACGCACACACGTACTTTATGCATATATACATAAAGTATGTATCTATATACACATACACACATATATATACACATATGCTTGCATAATTGAAATGGTACTGTATATACAGTTCTAGATTTGAGAGTCAATTTTCCACTTAATCTTATGAGCATTTTTCCACAATCAAGTGATCTCTCTCCCTGGCTTACAACCTCCGACAGTTTATGTTCACACCCAGTATGTATGTTCTTATTATGGCTAAAACCAACATAATCTGGCTCCTGGCTCCCTCTCTAACCTCAAAGTAGCTTGCTCTGCTCTAAACACAAATCTTCTCTTCAATTCTCTCAGACACTCTGAGCTCCTTCGCATCCTAGAACATTTATATCTGCCTTCTTCTCTGTCTGGAATGTTCCATCCTCAAATGGTCACATAGGTGGTTCATTAATGGTCACATAGGTGGTTCATTATTTTGTCATTCAGAATTTTAACTCCACATCACCTCACTTTAGAGTGCTTCCCCAAACACCCTCATCTAACCCCCAGTCTCTCCCTCAACTCATTTGGCTTTTGTGTCTTCACAACAGCATGGTCATCCATTGTTGTTGTGGTTACTCTCTTTCTCTCCTTCCTGGAATGAAAGCTCTGAGAAAGCAAGGGCCCTTTACTTGCTTGCAGCTGTTATCTCTAACCCCTACAACAGTACCCAATAGAAAATAGACGCTCAACAAGTATTTGTTATATAAACGAATGACTCATTGAAATTTCCTCAGAAATACACTTTTAATATTTTGGCAGACTCAAAGCCCGTCGTTTGCTCTCGGAGTTAATGGCATCGAAAATGAAGCCTAACTGCTATCAATTGGGTAAAGAATTATTCAATACAAGAACTTTAGTGAATTTTGTAGACATCAATCTGAAATTCCAATAGAGAGCTAGAAATCATCCTATTCTTCTTGATCCTGTGTAACAATCTCAAAAGACTTCAAAGGCTGTAATTGAAAACTCCTGGGACTATATGATCCCCAGTTTATACTTGAGGAAACTGCATGCAAAGGGTTAAGACATTGAAACTCTCCTGGTGAAGCTTGATTCCTCCTGAACACTTCCATAGGCCTCAATGATAGTCCTTCTCTAAGGAGACATGTTGACATCATCTTGGGACAATGACCCAGGTGCCTGGCCAGGCACCACTCCTTGTTGTTAGTTAAGAACCCAGTCTGGAATCAGACAGAACTGGCATTAACCAGCTCCATCCCTTTCTTACACAGGTCTAGAGGTGGGTAGGAAGATTCCACTTATTTACCAACAAGAAAGTTGAGGCTCAGGGAAGTGAGTTGCCCAAGGAAGTGAGTGATTACTTCTATCTAGAGCCTGTAGTCTCCTTCCTGAATCCCAGTTGCTCTGTTCTGTATTTCTGAGCTGACAGCAATGGGAGAAGGGACCTATTACTGCAGTGTCCCTGGGTACCCAGTACCTTTGAGATTCTGTGTTGTATCATCTTCACCAGAACGCTGAAAGGTGAGTTTTATGTATGTATGTATTATTTATGGGCACACCTAAACAATCGTTAAATAATGACAAAGATAGAGTCATTATTATTGAATTGTATGGGCAACCACTGCTTTCTCTTTCCTGAGCAGGAAGCAGGTCTCAACCACTAGGAAACAATGTCTAACACATGAAAATGAGATAAGAAAACTGTTAAAATTCTGTAATATCTTCCTTGATTCTGAAAATAGTAAAAGAAGAAACAAGAAATGGAACTTGAAAATACATAAGCCAATTCTATTATTTTTATTTTCTTTTGTTTGCGTCATTGGCACATGGGGGGAAAATACCAACTAGGTGAAATGGAGAAAATGTGTTTTTGCGGTTCACTCTTTTTCAAGCCTAGTGGTGTTCTCTTAAGCCACTCATGCAACACTTGGCTGATGGGGCAATGAAAGGATAGAGAAGGAAATGCATAAGGCCCTTTTGCAATACTATTTGTTTTTACTGACATTTTCAACTTTGGCCTCAGTTGGCCAGTCTTACAAAGGGAAACTGTCAATCTGCATGACAGACCTTCCGGGACCTCTCCTTCTCCAGCACACAAAAGGAAAACAAAGCATTCCTATCAGCTTCTTGAAGATAAGGCTAATAGGGGAGCCTCTGATTCCAGGAAAGGCAAACTACCTGTCTGCCCCTGGCCCAGGTGGCTACTGTCACTCTCAGGTTAAAAATCAACTCTGAGGCATGGACAATAATTGGAGCTAAATGGTAGTTTCTTTCTTATTACAGTCAATTCTACCTTGCCACCTGGCAGACAGAATATGCAAATGTAAGAGGAACCAATTAAGGCTGAGACTTTTCAGTAAAATCCTTTGAGTTTCATGAGTTTCAGTAAAATCCCTTGAGTTTCAGAAGCCAACACAACTTCATTGACAATATATGCATGCATTGTGTGAGTGTGTCTATATGACAGGTCTTCCAAAAGTTCATAAAAAATATGTGTTATGAAAAAAATTATACATGGATTTCAATTTTTTTGTACCAAAATCAACTCTCACTAACTTGATATGTCTGAACAGGAACTAGTTTGAGGCACTAACAAGGATAAGACATATTTGAAAAGATGCTCTCTCAGAGCAACATGAATTCTGTTAAAATTGAAGCAAGAACACACACCAAAATTTTTGGTGAAGCTTAGGTGGAAGAATGGCAAAATCACTGATGCTTTATGAAAAGTTCATCAGGACAATGCCCCAAAGAAATTAGCAGCTTACAAACAGATAACTTGTTTGAAGAAGGGACAAGATGTTGCTGAAGATGAAGCCTGCAGTGATATGCCATCCACATCAATTTGGGAGAACAAAATTAATCTTATTTGTGACTTAAATGAAGAGGACCAATGATTAACAGCAGAAACAATGGCCAACATCATAGGCATCTCAACTGGTTCAGCTTACACAAATCTGACTGAAAATTTAAAGTTGAGCAAACTTTCCACTCAGTGGTTGCCAAAACCATTGCGCCCAGATCAGCAGCTGCAGCCAAGAGCTGAGCTTTCAATGGAAATTTTAAACAAGTGGGATCAAGATCCTGTAGCATTTCTTTGAGAACTGTAACAGGAGATGAAACATGGCCTTACGAGTGTGATCCTGAAGACAAAGCACAATCAAAGGAATAGCTACCAAGAGGTGGAAGTGGTCCAGTCAAAGCAAAAGTGTACCAGTCAAAGCAGGTGGACCAGTCCAGAGCCAAGGTCATGACAGCGGTTGTCTGAGATGCTCAAGGCATTTTGTTTGTTAACTTTCTGGAAGGTCAAAGAATGATAACATCTGGTAATTATGAGAGTGTTTTCAGAAAGGCAGCCAAAGCTTTTGAAGAAAAAAAAATGTATGAAAAAGCTTTACTAGAGAGTCGTCCTCCACCATGACAATGCTTCTGCTCATTACTCTCATCAAACAAAGGCAATTTTTTGAGAATTCCTAAGGAGAAGCCATTAGACATCCACCTCACAGTCCAAATTTGACTCCTTCTGACTTTTTTTTGTTACTTAATCTTTAAAAATCTTTAAAGGGCACCCATTTTTCTTTAGTTAACAATGTAAGAAAGACTGCATTGACATGATTAAATTCCCAGGACCCTCAGTTCTTAAGGGATGGACTAAATGGCTGCTATCATAGCTTATAACAGTATCTTGAACGTGATGGCACTTATGGTGATAAGAAAAGCTTACATCTTTAAACTTTTCTCTTTTAATCTCATTTTTCCATGAACATTTTGAATTCTCCTCATACTCATAAGTGTGTATGCAAGTGAGTGTGTGGTTGTATGTGCATGTGATGAGCCAAGACAGGATGAAACAGATAAACTCAACCTTTAACCTTCCTCGATGTGAAGGCTTAAGCAGGTCCTGAAACATTGTAGGTATTTGCAAAGGGCTACTGATTGGATGAAGAAATGCTATGCAAAGTAAAAATTCCACAGCTTACATTTATCTTGATCTCATGAGAAAGTCCAACTCCTAACCCTGATGCTATTTAGCCACTTAGGAGTTGCAAGAATGGTGTCAATACTTCACTTCTCGTCAACTATCCTGTGAGTGTTCACAATCCTTCTCCTCTAGGTCCCTCTTGACTTAAAAGGAGACAACATTTTCAAGGCTGTGTGTCATTCATACCCTGATAATTTATGAAGACATTTCAATAGGTTTCCTTGATACAAATGCAAACCCAAATTATTACCCTGCAGGATATTAATAATGCCAACAGCAAGAGCAGTGGCTAATA